CGATTGATGGAAGGCAGAGAAGAGAGTTTCAAGAAAGTGCTGCACAGCAATCCAGGAGGATTTGGACCGAAAAGAAGCTACTGAGCTGAAAATCTTGGGGCCAGCAAATGGTGTAATGATTACATCACTGGACTCCCATGTAGTTTATTACAGTTTGAGTCCCAGGCCCGGTGGCTTAAAACTCACGCTGGTCATGTGTGTGTCCATGCCCAAAACCCTGAGAAGAGAATGGAGGAGGAGGGAGTGCAGTATGGCCATCCCCTGGGGGGTGACTTCTGACTTCTTGCTTTTTGTCTCTCTGTCTCTCTGGCGAGCACTCACACCCTATAGGAAACATCTCTCAAAAAAACAAAAAAAATCTAGGCCATTGGTAATCTTGGCAAGAGAAGTGTCTACTAATACAGTAAGATTATGATAATCTAGGAAGTACATGGAAAAGGAAGTGGGTGACTAAAAATGATTTTTTTTCTAATTTTCATCAGTGAATGAAGAGAAAGGATAATAGCTAGAGGAGGAAGATTAAGTTTTTCAATGACATTTAGGAACTATCCAATATTTATCGAGTACTTATTATGTGCCAAGCGCCTTACTAGGGCCTATAGATCTGAGATGCAGTTCCTGACCTAGATACAAGAAGACCTTTGCAGTACAACGTAACATCGAGTGCTCTCCATAGCACTGGGGATGGTGAGCAGAGGCTGCTGTGGGAGGATTTAATAACATCTAACCAAGATCAGTAGGTTTGTGGAAGGCTTTCTGGGTGAGTGACTTTCAAGCTGAGGCTTGAACAGTAAAAATGGGGGGTGGAGAGCAGTTTGGAGGAAGAAGGTAATGCATGTGCAAAGGCTCAGAGGAAGAGAGATTGGTGCAGAGGGAACTGAAATTAGTTGTGTCTGGCTGCAACTTGGAGTTGAGTGTGGCAACAGGCATAATAGGGAGCAACTGAGGGTTTAAAGCAGAGAACAATGTATTTGGATTTATATTTTATAAAGGTCTCCAGCTCTAGTAAAGCTGGACGATTGGAGACAATCTGTTACTCTTTTGTAGACTCATGGTTTGATTATTAAACACCTGGTGTGACTCATGGTCAAGGCAGGAAAGCACATATTCAAAGTGTTTAAATGAGAAAAGTTTAATGAAAGGACTCTTTATAGAGCTGAGGGAAGGGTAAAGGACATACAGTCTTGTGGGATATTGAAAGTAGGAAGGGATAAATATCCTGATTTCTCTCACCTTCTACTTTCTGATCTCCTGCTTGGGTCTCAGGTGACACTAAACTAATCGAAGCTAGAGGGCAAAGAAGACTGGAAGATGTTTGTTCAGGACAGCTTCTGGAGGAACAAAGTAGGGCATAACAGAGTGGAGAATGGATAGAAGAGAACAGCAAGCCACCAGCATACCTGATTCAGTCACCAGCATACCTGATTCACCAGCATGCCTGGTTTATTGCAGTAACTGGAAACTGCTCTAGATATTTAAAAAAACAGAGAGTTCAGTCAGGCAGTGCAGTACTTCTGAAATCCTTGGTCATGTCCACTTGTATTCCCCACCACTCAGGAGGCAGATGTAGGAGGACTGTGAGTTTGTGGCTAGTCTGGGCAACATTTGGACACCATCTCTGAAGAAGCTGGATATGAGAACTCTTGTTCATGGTCCTAGCTGGGAGGCTGAGGCTGGAGGATCTTGACTTTGCAAGACCTTGTCTTAAAAAATAAACAAAAACATATCAATCACACACTCACACACACACACACACACACACACACAAAGTCATATCACCTGTGGTAAACATTGCCAGTGTTGACAAATATTTGGTCCTCCTTTACTACCTAGGCATATGGAAGTTTACATTACCCAATCCCCTTGCGGTTAGGTGAAGCTATATGACTAGCTCTAGCCAATAAAATGTGAAGAGAGGTTATGTGTGACTCCCAGAATGAGGCAATGAGAAGCCTTTGAGCAGTTCTCTAGACTTCCTTTTCCCTGTCACAACAGTCCTGGAGGAGACCAAGAGTGAAGCACCCTAGATGTCTGCATTGGCACATGGAGAGCAACTGCCCACACCTGTAGGAAACATTTTGTCAGCGAAAAAGAAACTTTTATTGTGTTAA